AGCATGGCTAACAACAAGGCCAGTGGAGGTGATAGCATTCCAGTTGAACTATTTAAAATCTTAAAAGATGATGCTGTTAGGGTGCTACACTCAATATGCCAACAAGTTTGGAAAACTCAACAGTGGCCAGAGGATTGGAAAAGATCAGTTTACATCCCAATCCCAAAGAAGGGCAGTGCCAAAGAATGCTCCAACTTTCGTACAATTGCACTCATTTCACACGCTACCAAGGTTATGCTCAATTCCTACTAGGTAGGCTTCATCAGCATGTGAACCAAGACGTCCCAGAAGTACAAGCTTGATTTCTAAGGGGTGGAGGAACTAGAGACCAAATTGCTAACATGTGCTGGATTATGGAGAAAGCCAGAGAGTTGCAGAACATCTGCTTCTGCTTCATTGACTACACAAAAGCCTTTGACTGTGTGGACCACTGCAAACTATGGCAAGTCCTTAAAGAAATGGCTGACCACCGTATCTACCTCCAGAGAAAGCTATACGTGGGACAGGATGCAACAGTTAGAACTGGATATGGGACAACTAATTGGTTCAAAATTGGGAAAGGAGTATGACAAGGCTGTATATTGTTCTCCTCCTTATTTAACTTATATGCAGAATACATCATGCGGAAGGCTGGACTGGAGGAATCCCAAGCCGGAATTAAGATTGCCAGAAGAAATATCCACAACCTCGGATATGCAGATGATGCCACTCTGATGGCAGAAAGTGAGGAGGAATAAAAGAACCTCTTAATGAGATTGAAAGAGGAGAGCACAAAAAATGGTCTGAAGCTCAACATCAAAAGACTAAGATCATGGCTGTTGATCCCATTACCTCCTGACAGATAGAAGGGGAAGATATGAAGGCAGATGGTGACAGTAGCCACAAAACTAAAAGACGTCTGCTTCTGGCAAGGAAAGTGATGAGAAACCTAGACAGCATCTTAAAAAGTGGAGACATCACCTTGCCGACAAAGGTCTGCATAGTCAAAGCTATGGTTTTTCCAGTAGCGATGTATGGAAGTGAGAGCTGGACCATAGTGAAGACTGACTGCCGAAGAATTGATGCTTTTGAATTGTGGAGCTGGAGGAGACTCTTGAGAGTCCCCTGGACTGCAAGCAGAACAAACCTATCCATTTTGCAGGAAATCAACTCTGAGTGTTCATATCCTGAAGCTGAGGCTCCAAGACTTTGGCCATCTCATGAGAAGAGAAGACTCCCTGGAAAAGACTCTGATGTTGGGAAAGCGTGAAGGTGAGAGGAGAAGGGGATGACAGAGGATGAGATGGTTGGAGAGGGTCATCAAAGCTACTAACATCAAGTTGATCAAACTCCAGGAGGCAGTGGAGGACAGAGGACCTGGCATGCTGTGGTCCATGGGGTCACGAAGAGTCAGACGTGACTTAACAACAACAAAGCAGAGGAAAGAACACAAGAACATGCAATCTTGGGTATATTTTAAAAAGACTGTCCCTGCTGACCAAATCAACGGCCTTTGTAAGATCTATGAATGCCACAAAGAGTGGCTATCATTGTTCCCTACATTTCACTTGCAACTGACTGGGGGAAAATATCACGTCAATGGTGGATCTATTAGCTCAAAATCCACACTGTAACTCTGGATAAACTCTGTCTGCAAGCTCCTGGAGTCTCTTTAGCAGGACACAGGCAAGCAGCTTCTCTACAATGCTGAGAAGAGAGATGCCATGGTAGTTATTGCAATCACCTCTGTTGCCTTTTTTCTTATATAATGTGACTGTGTTTGCATCCTGTTGAGAATTTTGATTATAACATGTATTCTCATAACATCAGCAGAGTAAGGAGAGATTGGTTAGCAGAGATACTTGTGACATTGAGAGAGTAAAATCAACTTGATCTATTTACATATATACACAGAGAATAGACATTTCTCTGGCAGCATAACTTGACATCAAACAATAGATAGTGCGGTTGCTGACCTTGAGCCAGGTATCTTGGAGAGTGAAGTCAAGTGGGCCTTAGAAAGCATGGCTAACAACAAGGCCAGTGGAGGTGATGGCATTCTAGTTGAACTATTTAAAATCTTATTCTCTGGCAGCATAACTTGACATCAACAATATCCAGCATAGGAAAAAGTGATCTGACTTAAAAGCAGATACAATGCCCCATTTTCACATGACTTATGTACAGTTCTGGGACCAATCAAAGAATACATTCCATCATCTTCAATTACATAAGGTTTCCTCATCTACTACAGCTACACAGAATTTAGTCTGAAACCTTGGTCCATACCTGAATACAATCTGTACATGACTCAGGTGAAATCAGCCATTTTACATTTAACTATGCAACACAAATATTTAGTACATTCACAACAAAATCTCAACACATCCTTCATGTCCTGTGGTACTCCATCTTCCCTCCAGCAAAGACAAAAGATTTCATACAGCCCAGTGGTGATGATCTCTTTACAGCACTTCAGCATTTCAACAGACATGTTACTATCTCCAAGTGCCTTGCCGGAGGCGAGGGAATCCAAGGCCGCTTTTATTTCTGCTAAAGTTGGTTTGCTGTCCAACTCTTCCAAGACAGGCAGGCACTCAATGTTAATTAATACCTCTTCAGTTACTACATTCCCTCCAGAATATAGCTCAGAGTAGTGCTGCACCCCACATTCCATCTGCTGTGCTCAGTCCTGGATGGCCACACCTGTAACAGTCTTCAAAGGATCAGATTTCTTTTGTCTTGGACCTAAAGCCTGCTTGATACCATCATACATTCCCTGTGTCCACTGCGATCTGAATCTGAGAGCAGAGCTGAAACCAGTAATCATTAGAACACCTCCTGGCAGTCTGTTGTCCTACCCCCCGCTCAAGGCAGAAACTCTGGCACTCAGGAACAAGGCAAGCAGCACAGCTAGAAGACCTTTGTTGCTGAGGCAAGTTCTCGAAGGGAGAACCACTCCTTAAAGAGGCCTTCCCTCCAGATCTCCAGGTGAACATCATGAATGGCCCAGCAACTGCTACACAGGCCAGGGCCTGAGCCTGCAAACAGTGGGCCACTGGTGGTGCAGGTTGGCCTTGATCCTGCAGCTTCCAGGGTGATGTAGACTAGATCTGCCTAGAGTGGTTGCAAGACCAGATAGGCAGGATATTAGATAGACAGACAGACAGACAGACAGATAGATAGATAGATAGATAGATAGATAGATAGATAGATAGATAGATAGATAGATAGATAGATAGATAGATAGATAGATAGATAGATAGATAGATAGATAGATAGATAGATAGATAGATAGATCCTGACACATAGAACCATAGAATCACAGAACAATTGAGTTGGAAGGGACCATGGAGTCCAACCCCTTGCTCAAGGCAGGGATCCAAGCAGATCTGACAGATGGTGGTCCAATATTCTCTTCAATGCCTCTGGTGTTGGAACGCTCACCACTTCCTGAGTTCATTGGTTCCATTATGAAGCTCTTTCTGACATTCGGCCTAAATCTGCCTTCCTGTAGCCTGAGTTATGTACACCCCAAAACTGACAAAGGAAGCCATTAATCAGCTGTCATTTTCCACTTCTGATTTTCCCTCCTTTCTCCCACATCATATGAGTTCAGCCAATATATCCCTTTTTGGAAATACTGTAAAGGGAAAAAAAAAAGGGCAATGCCAGAATGAAGACACGGCTTATATTAACCAACCCCGTTTTCTCTCCCCAGTTTATGGCTGCACTGAGGATATTCCAGAAAAGTGTATCGAGTTTGGTGGCGCTTGCAGCAGAGATGCGTGCCAGAACGGGCGCATGGGTTCATGTGGGTCAGGTCTCCATTGCTGCCGTCAGCCGTAAGTCTCTCTCTTTCCGACAAAGAGCACTCAAAATGAACCCACCCTTTCAATGAGAACACAACACCAAAGTTTTGTGTAGAATTATTGATATTTTAATGTTAGTAAAACCTTTTGATATTAAGATGATTACATACTGACCAGAATCCTCCTATAAGGGACGTAAAAAATTGTCACTCATTAATGAAGTGCTGGTCGTGTTCCTGAACACATGCTTGAGGTGTGCATCCAGGACTGCAACCAACCCCACAGTAATGAGCGGCAATGTGCCCCCCCAAGACTTACATGATTTCCTCTTTATGAGTACAACATGGCAATAGGATTATGGCCATTGTGTTATTTGTCCCTTTTTAAAAGTTATGTTGTAATTTCATAACAGTCCCTGGGTAAAGGACAGAAATAGAGATGGGCATGAACTTCTAGTTTGATGTTTCATGCTGGGGATTTTTTTTTATTTTGGCCAAACAGGTGCTCTGTGCTTCCCAGCCCCACCTCCTCCAATGGGCACCCACTCTGAGGCTGCACCCTGGCTTCCCTGCCCCATTTTCTGTGAGTGCTGTCTCTGAGTGGGAGTCCAGCAGAGGAAACAGGACTGAGAAGTCTCACTATCATCAACAGCACAATGTTGGACCATGACATTAGGTAGAAAACATTGTAGAGGAAGTAAAATGGTATTGAATACAATAGTCACTTTCAGAGCAGAATGGAAGGCTAAAACCAACCAACCAACCAACCAACCAACCAACCAACCAA